CGTGGGTGTCAGCACAAGGCTTGCTGTTACCTTATCGGCGGGTAGACCGTCGATGTCAGCTGAGTCACCTTTGTGGGCCGTAAATTGTATGTGTAGTGGCGGAAGGGTAGCGACATTTGCAGTGCTATATACCTCTAGAAGTTATGGCCCTTTCAAACCACCAAGAACTGGATGGGAACTCAACGATGCTTGCGGTTGAACCGGTGACCAACTACTACTGTTTAAAGAGATTTATAGATTGCCTATTCACTCGTCGAAAGGTGACGAACACTCGTCAGTCACAAAGGACAAACGAAATGAGGTCAAAGCAATACGAAGGATTTTATGATTAAATAAAGACGTCGGACATAACTTACCTTAACCGGAGCATCATCATCAAACCGAACATCAAAGTAGCCTACCAAGGCATCGAGAATCATCGTTGATTCGAGATTGTCTTGATCAATTAGGAGAGAGAACGGGCGTTCTCCAAGCTGTAAAAGATCAGTCGGCTGTGAACTGTTAGAAAGGACCTCTTTCAGATCCAGACTATAAAGTTGGTGGGGTTTCGATGTCAAAATACACAGCTCAGATGATCCAGCAACATCCTGCGTCCCACCGACCGTCCTCGGATCCGTCAGATCGAGAACGTGTGCTTCCGCAAGCGCCGAACGACGCAGAGCAGGCATTCGGTAGCCGTAAACGCTCGTCCAGAGATCCAGATGATCGTGCCGCAGTTTCGAACCACAACTAATACCCAACAAGTTGAGGGTATAGTGTCGTGGAAATATGCATCCTGTGTCAGGCTTAAGATAGCGACGAGCCACCGTGAGGACAGAATCCAGCATTGATTCAAAAAGCAGAAAATAACCCATCCATTCAGATATAATCACTGGGAAGCGAAACGGGACAGGCAGAAAGTGAGACATTTGGGTGCTAAAGTAACGATAACATGTAGAAATTTGGGCTATTCTGATTGGCTGATTCACATAAGTTGGTTCTGATAGAACAAAACCATGAGGCTCAGATACCACCAGACGTCTCTATGACTGCGTAGACGTAATACACTGCTTAAGAACATTATAAACGAGAGATTCAGCTGGGTTCCGTCAAAAGCAAATTGACGTGCAAATGGGTGTATTTGCCCCTTAGATTGCTTTTAAGCAACCGACGGGGGAAGTCTGTTCCACAGGGCGGCTCAAAAATAAGCACGACATTTGCTGTACATAAGGAAAACGTTTTAACTGACAGAGGAGCGTCGAATGACTCATGACCTACAGCGTCCAGTGAAAGGCGAGCATCGAACTAGCCGGTCAACATGAGTTGGTCAAACAAGAGGCCGTCTGTGCACAGCGCGAAGGTCACAGACAGAGCCAAATATGGTGTTGCATGCGAGGCGTTGGCGCTGACGTAGACCCCACGGAATAAAATTGACGGGCGAACTGCAAAGGCCTGTTGAAAGCCATTGGTGGCATAACAATTGGCATCATCTGTCAATCTCATTGAATTTCAGCATAATACCGCACCTCTCTCGGTAAGGTACCGTGCAACTGTTACCTGGAACTGCCGTTTAACGCACCGCAATATGGCAGTGAGCAACCAAAATGTATCGCGTTAACCCCAACGTATAGGACGTCATTACCTGCAGAACGATAGTGTCAGGCAGGTACTTATTGGAAAATAGCTCCAGATAGTCATGTTTATCAGGTTTGCCGGTGGGTCCGACGATGGCAGAAGATACATACGGAAATTCGGTGGACTGAAACCCTGCTTCAACCCGTTATCGATTACAAACTAGTTCGAGATAGTCGCATATTCGTGCTTTAATCCAAATGCGAAATGCTGTAAAGAGAATTACAAATCTGCCCGAAGAGCCAAGCCTCTTACAAGACGATCAAAAGCGCTTCTCTGATGGTCGAGTCGGGAGATTTGATGAGGTCCACAAGCAATCCATAGAATGGTTGAATCCGTTCACAACATTTCTCTTGCGACAAAAAACTACTCTCGAATCCACACCGCTATTCAGGAACGTTGTCCTTCAGAATGCCACAGACCATGTGGCTGAGCAGGAGGCATGTGATAATCTTGCCTAATAGGCACATAAAACTGATTCCGCGGCAGTTGTTCATCCTCTATTAACAAAATTTCCCTTCGCACAGGGGAATCGTGGCCGTACCCGTTAAACCTTGCAGAACTTCTACCAACCCCCGAATTCTGCATAGTAGGTGTAGACGGTCGTTATGCGGTCTTCCTTGTAGTTGGTCCATGAACCCCAGTGGTTCTGCAAGTCAGCCAAGTAGACCTTCACTATGTGTTCGAGCAGGTGGGTCAACATCTCCTGGTCGAATGAGTAGTGTTCAAAAGTGATGTTTACAGGTTTCCCGAATTTTCGGGCTTTAAAAGGATCCCCAGATCCTACGAAGTGTCCTTCTGAAGCGTCATCAATTCAAAAAAACGTCTCAGTATCATAACCCCGAAGTACCAACCGAGTGCCGTTGAAAGCGACATCTTTAAAGAGTTTTCGTCACCCTATCGCATGCTTTTGTTTAAGGTTCTCGCCAGTAATGTTGGTTGATGAGTCATTTGGGTGGTTACTTTGTTGAATCGTTTCACTTCATCCGTTCGTATGAAGTCATCCGAGAATTGCCTCTTGACACGATTCACTAAGAATCCCACAGCTGCGTGTGTGGATTCGAAGACTCGTCAAGCATGTACCTGTCCGAATGTGTGGATTGCCCGTGAATTTTCACTTTGTGCTTACTGTTTTNTTTGATCCAAGCGGTTCAGAAAAGCTGGTTGTTGTGTGGTTGATATGATGACAAATATGTTGTCATCATATCTCAGTCAGAAACCGCGGTGGATGACCAAAGTCACGCAAGACTTCAGTCTCCACATTGGGTAAGAAAGTGATTGGGTACCTATCTAACGGTGGACTCTTACGAGAAGATCGAACCGCAGAAGGAGTCTCCAACTCTGAGCAATATGAAATCTTGAACGCGACCCAACCATCACACCCAATGCCCTCGAGTCAAACCATCATATCAGCTTCGGTGACACAAATATACAGCAGTAATGGCTAAATTCACACATACAACGGACGTGCGCTGAGGCTCTATAGATCAACAAAGTCAGTCAGTCAAACAGCTAGTCATTTAGCTCACAAACCGTGCACCAAAGTGCAGTGGTTCCAGCTGGTACATCGCCGAAAAGGAGGATAAAGGAATGAGAGACATGTGTTGAACGCGATGGCCAAATCACTGACGACAAATGGATCTGCTCGCCCAGTGTGGCAGGAAGTGAGAGCCGCGCAGTGAAGGCGATAGCTTTGATGCAAGAGCGCCATTGGCTGCGTGACACATCCATATGTGTCAGGGCCATTAATCACTGGTTTGTCTCGTTTCGCCGTCCCAATCCGTGGGAAAGACGGTTACCAACGCAACTGAGTTGACCGGTAAGGACTTTCGTGCTCCATTGTCAAGTCAGGAACTGACTGCCTCTGGCCGTCTCCATGCTACACAAGGCTGGGAAAGGCTGGGCTCTGCGATGCAAACGGTTCTCTTTTATACGAAATACACGGCCTAACCAAAGTAACCTGTGAAGTGGACTTTCTGACAGTGGACATCTGACTGTCCCAGCATTAGTGATTTGACGTTCCCACCAGACACGAACAACACAACCAAACCGTGTCAACCGCAGTAATCGAGCCAGCATCCTGTCTATTCTGGCTTGGACTTATTGCACGCGGTGACCACATGTTGAACCGGAGTCTCGGCAATGGCGAATCGCAGCCAACACAGAAACAAACAGAGGAGCATCCCAGTCAAAGTGTGTGTACAATCACACACACGCACACACAGACACACGTTGGCTACATCTGACAACTAAGTGACCTCAAGAACACAATAATCAAAAGACACGGTGCCAGACTCAAATAAGGCTGTACTTGGCCCGTACTCAGTGGGTTGTGAGAATCCCCAAAGAAGGTTACCCTCGCACCCAAAAAAGGACACCTCATTCCGCTAGGCTGTTTTTATTTTGAACTTTTCATGTTACACCATAACTTGTTCAATAAGACCAAATTAGGCCGAATTGGGCTGGAAACTCTGCACGGTGGAACATCTGTGAAAACTGACCAAGTCGTCGTGATGCACCATGAGGAAATCAGACTTCACTGTGAAGTGCAATCATAGCAAAAAGCTAAACTCACCTGGTCCACCGGAAGTTTGACAGATTCTGCTCGATCTCTTAGCAATGTGATACGATCATCCATTTTGTTAATCCTGGATTAATGGTAACAGAAATAGGAAAGCAGAAATGATGGAAAGAATTTGGTGGAATATGGAAGCATGGTTCCAGTTGGCGAGGCGAGGAAAAGGGAGAAGACATGGTCGATTGAAACCCGAAACAACTTCTGAACACGAATAACAATTTGAAATGGTTAGCGGAACTCAGGTAATTTTGTGATAACTCAATCGACCGTCCATCATCATCGCACACGTACTCGCATCCGCATTCGGAGACGTTTTGTAGAAACGGCTAGACATTTGCGTCTAAACATTTGACAGCCAATCGGATATAGGTACATTTTTCTAAGAGGCTTTCCTGTAGGTGTGAGTTCATAGGGCTGAGGGGGCATAATTCAAAACAGAACACGCCACCAACCCTGCTGGATAGTTATCCGGGCTGTGCTGACAGCTACACTGACAGCTTCTTCCTCACAGATGAACCTACTCCAGGTATGGAGCGAGATGGCTCAAGTGGTTAGAGCGCGAATTTATTGACCGAGAGGTCCGTGGTTCGAACCCACTTACCCTGTTTAGGCTTGGGCAACCTGGCAGTATCCCAGCCCTCGTGCTTACTTCGAGTGGCATGGCAGTTAGGCACCAAAAGGGTGCTACAGCTGAACGATGTTCAACCTCCTGGAGATCCCGAGTTAGTTATAAGTGCTATAGGACAGGTCGGCGTTTATGAATAAAGTAGGCGCCATGTTGTCTTGTCGTTGCGGAGACGAAACCCGGAAAGATCAAGCGTCTTCAGAAAATGCGTAGATGGTTTCAATCATTCAGCACTTGTGAGGTTTGAATCGAGTCGCGAAAAAACGCTACGTTGTACCGTTTTTTCACACTCATTTACCTCACGTTCATTCGCATACGCCCTGATACACTGAGCTGAAAAACGTGAAGCCCACTGCATGTAGTGGCTCGCATCTTTATTCTTTAGAAACGGTCATCGAATACAACCCTACAAAAGGCTAAGGTTTCAGTCTTCGCTATAAATGACATGAGGGGAACAGAACAGCGTTGCCCTTAGGGAGGTTCTTTGTTGAGGATTGGATAAGTTACTGTCGAGAAGTCATTCAAGGTAGTATAATAATCGAGGGCCGAAAGAGAGTCGCCGCTATATTTTCACGCCGGATTGAGGATATCTTCGCTCAATTAACTTGTGTTTCCTATCGCGCTGCCTGTCAAAACATTATATCACAGTTATGCAATCAAGGGCTATTCCTATTTGTCTTGACCTGCGTACCCACTGAAAATGAAGGCTACGTCGCGGTGCTGGAAAAGTGATCAACTTGAAGTAGTCCACAGAAAGGCGCACCTTCATAGCCAGTTGAAACCGTAATGTTACACTGGTAGTCGCCTTGAGCCACACAAGCCCAGGGAAAACGTAACTATGGCAGCATGGCAAAAAAGGATGTCCTTGATCCCGAGGGGCCAGTAACGATGCGTTTGGTCCAGAGCCGAGCTGACTGGACGGTACCCATAGCCAGGCGTTTTGTCTACCGGCTGTTTTACGGCAGATCGCAGCAACACGAGGTCAGCAAATACATAGGCGCGTATTGTGAATATGAAATGTGGTGCTTTCAAGACACACGAAGAAAGTGCCAGGAATTGTTGACTACCTGAGAACAGCCAATTGGAAACTCCCAAGTTGTTACCATCCCCATAGAGGATCTGATGAGCACCAAGTCAGTAGGAATTGAAGCGAGAAACCAATACAATTCAGGCTATGGCCCCGCAAAGAGTTTTGAGAAGTCTCACATAAAATCAATTAGCTGGTTGTAGCGAGACGGACGGGCAGTGGGAGAGAATCAGTAAAAGAACTGGACTACGGCTTCCGATGTTCTAGCTGCAACAACTCCAGTACGTTTGCTGGTTGCTGACCATCGGTGTCTCCGAAGCATTGGTCGGGTCTGGTGGAGACATTGCATTAACAATACTTAGGTAAGCAAGATAGCCTTGGGAAAAAGAAGCTCTCCCATGAAGGATGAGCCACTCACGTTTCATAGGATACGCCGGTCAGCACGTGCTAGAGGGCCATCAGTCTCCCACGGCACTATCGCTCAGCCCTGGGTCGAGTAGAAACGCTCGAGAGGTGGACAGTGTATGACCTGGCAACGAAGTATGAAAACACTAACCAGTAAACATAGTCGGGTGGGCAACTGCCACCTCCCTGGATGAGGATCCCGGGACTCAACTCACCAACCGTTAATGACACTGTCACAAATGGCAGTCAAGGGAGCTCATGCATCAAAGCTGTCTCCTTCAAGGCGCAACAACCCGGTTCCCGAACTAACGAAACATACCATCGCTTCCAAGTCTTGGTTATATGTTCCACACTCTCCCACTTTCCGGTAATCGAAACTGTAACAGATGGAACAGTCAGTTATGCTTATGGTACACACAGCTGATTAATTGATTGATCGATTGACCAACAACCAATAAGGTTCGCAATGTTGACAAAAAATCGAACTTACTTGATTGTTTCGAGGGCAGCTGCAAATATGTCCGTTGACGCCTCCACACCGTAGACGTGATCCGCCCCAGCCTCGGCTGCGAATAGCGATAGGATGGCGGAACCACACCCTACATCCAGGACTCGTTTACCCGAAAAATATGCATCGGCGTTGGATAGGATAAATGTCCGATAAGATTCAGTGCGAACTTCGTCAGCTGGAATAGAGAATCATCACGGCATTGAGGCAGCTTGTAAGCTCATTCATGGTATCCTAACCAGCAATCTACTGTTCACTTAAAACAAAAGGTTGACGGAGACTGCGCCCACCTGACGAGACCTAAGAAGGGAGAAACCGGTCGTCGGTTGTTGGAGAGTTTCCTTTACGAAAACATGTTATATAGACGTAAAACACTACTCATAAAGTTGCTGAAAATTCTTCGACAGCCCACGACCGGTTTCGGCCTTCTTGGAGCTCATCAGAAAGGCGTAGTTCCAGAGTTTCTGTCAACCCTAATAGCACGAAATCTGCGAAATACACTCATCTGCAAATAAATTTGGTTTTGCGGGAGACTCACCGGGAACTCATCTGAATCTCTCACGTGACTAAAAACACCAAGAACGAGATATTCAGCTGGGTTCCAGATGAGACTCCCGTAAAACCTAATTTCGCAAACGTTTCTCCTTTTCCAATTGGACGATGTTAACGGGACAAGCTGAATAGAAGTAGTTGGAACAGTAGTTCCAAAGAGAGAACTATTTGGAGGTCGACCACTCTCGCTGGGGGTGAACAAAAGCTTCCCCTGTCAGCCTCATGCATCAAAGCTGTCTCCTTCAAGGCGCAACAACCCGGTTCCCGAACTAACGAAACATACCATCGCTTCCAAGTCTTGGTTATATGTTCCACACTCTCCCACTTTCCGGTAATCGAAACTGTAACAGATGGAACAGTCAGTTATGCTTATGGTACACACAGCTGATTAATTGATTGATCGATTGACCAACAACCAATAAGGTTCGCAATGTTGACAAAAAATCGAACTTACTTGATTGTTTCGAGGGCAGCTGCAAATATGTCCGTTGACGCCTCCACACCGTAGACGTGATCCGCCCCAGCCTCGGCTGCGAATAGCGATAGGATGGCGGAACCACACCCTACATCCAGGACTCGTTTACCCGAAAAATATGCATCGGCGTTCGATAGGATAAATGTCCGATAAGATTCAGTGCGAACTTGGTCAGCTGGAATAGAGAATCATCACGGCATTGAGGCAGCTTGTAAGCTCATTCATGGTATCCTAACCAGCAATCTACTGTTCACTTAAAACAAAAGGTTGACGGAGACTGCGCCCACCTGATGAGACCTAAGAAGGGAGAAACCGGTCGTCGGTTGTTGGAGAGTTTCCTTTACGAAAACATGTTATATAGACGTAAAACACTACTCATAAAGTTGCTGAAAATTCTTCGACAGCCCACGACCGGTTTCGGCCTTCTTGGAGCTCATCAGAAAGGCGTAGTTCCAGAGTTTCTGTCAACCCTAATAGCACGAAATCTGCGAAATACACTCATCTGCAAATAAATTTGGTTTTGCGGGAGACTCACCGGGAACTCATCTGAATCTCTCACGTGACTAAAAACACCAAGAACGAGATATTCAGCTGGGTTCCAGATGAGACTCCCGTAAAACCTAATTTCGCAAACGTTTCTCCTTTTCCAATTGGACGATGTTAACGGGACAAGCTGAATAGAAGTAGTTGGAACAGTAGTTCCAAAGAGAGAACTATTTGGAGGTCGACCACTCTCGCTGGGGGTGAACAAAAGCTTCCCCTGTCAGCTATCATCTATTGTGCTAAAATCTCACTACATCCAACAAGGACTACGTACTTCTACAGATGAGTCCTGAACAAAGACGAACTGAGAGATTTTGTCGCGTAACAAACAAATGTTGTGATATGTTGCCTGGGATTTTATCCACTGACTACTGAAACCAGGATTTTTTGAAAATTTTACGAAAATAAACGTGACGCCGTTCACCATCGTTACAATGTCACCTTTTCAAAACGATTTCCACTCACTCACCATTCGTTACAAGGTAATTATAAATGGCACGGTATGTTTATTGCGGTGATTGATTTTGGACATGTTGTACCAATGAGTATCGCTTTGACTGTTAAACTGTTTGCCAGGCTTTGTCTGGAAATGTTTTGCCATTACTCGAGGAAACAGCTCCAGTGTGCTGCTTTCTTTCTTCTTGGGTGTATCGAGCTTAGGGAACAGTACAGAAATGTGTTGAAAACGAAGCGATATAAATCTTAAATGGACCATTAATGAGGGCGTCAAACGAACCAATCAGATGGGAGGACCACAGATCACAACGAGACAGGAAAATGTGGAGAGAAAAACTGGACCAAAGAAACAGCAAACAAGATGTTGTATAATCGTGACAAAATCAGGCAATCAGAGCAAATCACAATGACGATCCTCGAAAGGATAATAAGATAACCATTCAGCTGTAACGTCCTTTCGGTGCCCAGCTGTCATGCCACCCGGAGGAAGCACGAGGGCTGGGATACTGCCAGGTCGCCTAAGCCTAGACAGGAGAAGTCGAGAGGTAGAGGTCGGGTTCGAACCACGGACCTTTCGGTGAGTAATTTCGCGCTCTAACCACTTGGGCCATCTCGCCCCGCCCCTCCCCCTTGAAAAGAAACATTCGCAAAACAACACACAAGCTCTGTAAGCAGATAAACAACAGGCTATCAACCTTCCGCAGCGTGGTTAGTACAAGAAAGCCCACTCATCCCAACTGAGAAGCAATTCATTTTTTAATGTTGGGTCCAAATGCTGGTCTCCCGAGGCACAAAGAGAACGAAAAGTGGTAATGGAACATCATAAACCGCGACGGCAGTGTGGCAAAAAAACCTCTTACTGATCATTTCACCATGGATAGCAAAATGTCCGTAGGAGGTGAAGTACGCGGAATCGCCCGCATCCTCAGCAAATTCGTGGTACTTGGTTGGCTGCCTCATTGGTTGTTGTGTTGTCTGAAGGGGATCCACATCGTTCAGCGCGACGATCCCGTCTTGTGATAGTGGCTGGTCGAGCACCTTAGCAAGAAAGCGTCTGGAACAAAGAAGACCCGAAATCTTTTGTTATAAAAAAGAATATGAAATCCAGTGAAATTATCGAGCGTTTGGTAGATGCGACAACATCAAGTAGGAGGGTAAGTGAAGGGGGAAGTTGCAAAATGACAGACAAAATAGGCTCACGAGATCCCATGAGGTAATACGGGTTTAAAGGCGCTTGAGGTAGGAAGCAGAATTAAAAGAAGGAAAAAGCACTTAAACTAGAGGCAAGCACTCGATTGTTGCAAAGATCTGCTCCAGTCTTCCGGCTGTATCGACTCTGGTCCTCATCAGCGATGAGACTGAGGTACCGGCTGTCAGACACTTGAAAATTCCCTGGCACTAAGTGATAACGTGTGCACGGCTGTAAACACATTGGCATTTTTACTGTTGAATTTACACCTCCATAAAAGATGTCCAGGTGGAAAATTAGTAGACGAATAAAAATGACTTGACTGGGACAGAGAAAGACTCACTTGCACTCGGCTAGTTGCTGTCGGAGCGCTGCATTCTCTGCCCACAAATAGTCGGTATCCACGTGGTCATTTGAAACGTCTGGGTTACACGAGGATACACCGGTGTGTTTTGCCCCGTGTTTTCCAACACGGGACTCGATATCTGCAGGCAGGTCAAATGGAATAATTTCACTACCGATTGCATCCAGAGCGATTGGACGAATAGTCGTCAGTACCTATGACGGATTGCTATGTAAATGAATAGTCCATTCTCCTTCTATACTGCGCGGTCCACGACCCTTTTGTCCAAGAAGCAACAGGTCTAGCAAATGAACTTCTGGAATAATCGATGCGACTGGCTGGTACTGGATTAGATGTGGATATCTGATCACCGAACAGAGTGAGAAACTCATCAGCGGATCGCCAAAAAGCCGGTTAGTTGGAGAAGACAGAGGGGACCACTGACACGACTTTATTAAACGATAAGAGATACGGAATAAACGGATTGTTACTCAACCCGTTGTCGTAGCACTTCTGATTAGGGTGCCCAAAAACAGTTTGAAACAGTGAGTCGAACATTATTGCTGAGATAGCTAAGTGCTTAGAGGGCGAACTTGCTGACCGGAAGGAACGTGGTTCGAACCCGACCTCTGCCTCCCGACTTCCCCTGTCTAGGCTTGGGCAACCTGGCAGTATCCCAGCCCTCGTGGTTCCTTCAGGTAGCATGGCGGCTAGGCACCGGAAGAGTGTTACAGCTGGACGATCGGTTCTGGATTAAATGTGGATATCTGATTGCCGGAACAGAGTGAGAAACTCACAGGCGGATCGCCAAAAAGCCGGCTAGTTGGAGAAGACAGAGGGGACCACTGACGGGACTCAATTAAACGATAAGAGGGATTGTGATTCAAACATTTGTCTTAGCACTTCTGATTACAGTGCCCAAAAACAGTTTGAAACAGTGAGTCGAACATAATTGCTGAGATAGCTAAGTGCTCAGAGTGCGAACTTGCTGACCGGAAGGTCCGTGGTTCGAACCCAACTTCTGCATCTCGACCGCTCCTGTCTAGGCTTGGGTGACCTGGCAATTTCCCAGCCCTCGTGTTTCCTTCTGGTAGCACGGCAGCTAGGCACCGAAAGGGTGCTACAGCTGAACGAAATCGAAATGCCTGTGCACCCCAAAATTGATCTTTTGCCGTTTCATGTCTGCTGGTTCGTAAATTCTGCTGAAACAGAATAAGGCCAAAGCGGAACTGTGCACAGTCAGTCCCAACAAGTCTTAAGTTCGCCGTGAGAATTGACACAAAACCACCCACTGTAGACATATGGACGAGTATTACCAGTTTCCCGTTTAACTGTATCACTTCTCCCTTCATAAGGCCACCCAGTGTTGTCCGATCTTTTGCCGTGTGGGTAAAAGTCAAATGGCCCAGTTAAGTGTGTTCCTTGACATTCCTTGAGACATTATCGCCATTAGCAACTACTTTATTCCAACTATGTTCAACGAGGGGATGTGAACTGATCATGGAATGTGCTCGCGTCTAAATAAAGTCAAGCTGGTACCTAGCGATCGTCTTTTTTCGTTTAGTTCAGTCAATATCATTTCGTTAACGAATAAATTCTTTCGAGGAAAGAAGCACCATTTTAACCAAATAAAGCATGAATTTTCGGTACATCAACCACTTGTCATTGTTCGGCCGAATAGGTCGGTCAGTTGGCAGCTTTTTGGCACGATAACCAACGAAACTATCTATGGTGCTTGAAGCTTGTGTTCGTGTTCGTAACGCACAGCGTTACAATAAACCCCTTATTCTGTAGGTTTGATCTTTCCCCCTGGTCTGTCGAATGTGCTAGCGATACCCGGAGCATATGTCCACCTCCATGGGTGGACAACACCATAAAACCTAATGTCAGCTTTGACGTGCAAGTCACAGCGGGGACGATCGGTTTTCCTCACCCTGTCCAACCAACTATACACTAACAAAATCCTAAGTAGCGCCACCGCATTTGTTCCGTTTTGTCAACCACGCCACAAGAAGTCCAATCCAACTCCTCTGCCCCAGTGAATCTACCAACAACTGCCGGACCAACGACACAGCGTGAGTTCATACTCAGGTCACGACAATCTCGACTGACAAACCCTATGTGTTAACAACGCCTTGAGCAGCGATTTCAAAGGATTTGAGAACTGCTCGCTTACGCTCCAAAGTCTGGTAACGTTGATCCATCGTCAACGTTTTTGTGACCAGAATCCTGCCTTTCAGTTCACAGCGATTTCAATAGAATTAGCACTCACCGTAAAGAAACGGTAGAACGTCAGCGAAGCCTAGACCGTTCAAATCGTTAAACAGTGACCGCCAATAAGGTTTGTAAAAGAAGGAGTTTGGGAGAGACTGGGGGGAACGTTTTAAACTCCGGGACTTGGGGAGCGCATACTACCGATGAAGCCTAAAAATACTTTGTCTAACAGGGTAAAACCCATAAGTGTTATGATGTAGCTACTGTCAAGAGAAAAATGCACCGAAGAGACTAGTCACGGCGAAAGACGACAGTGTCACGAGAAGCACAAGGCTTGTGGGCCCGATGGGTGACGAGGGTAAACCCGAGAGGAAGAGTGAACAAGCTTTGCTCAGATGTCAAAATATGCATAGCAACTTCTACAACAACTGCTAAGGGGCCAAAACCTACCAATGGACAGAACAGCGTCATTCTCAAGGACGGATAGGAACGATTCCTCAGATTTGGAATTCCATTCGGGGTCGTGGAAAACCTGGCGCCAGTCAGTCGGCTTCTGTAAAGGGTAATGCAAAGTTTTTTTTAGATAACATCAGTGGTCTTGGCTGTGTTCGAGCCAGTCGTGTTTACCGAATCGAGGCCAGTTACCAAAACGAGGTAGAAATTCAATAGACGAATGTATCGACATACTGAACCAACAGCACGCTCAACTATGCTGTTTATGGTGATACACATTAATCAGTAAGTGAGACAGACCGGTCTAAAACACTCCAAAATGTAGACCAGTGTTGGTCCGTGTCACGTCACTAGTAATACACACAGGGCTTCGTTGGTCAGACCGTTTGATACGACGCGTCAGCTGATCAACTGACGTGGGATTTACAACCAAGATAAATCTTAGTGAAGCCTCACCACTGACTAATGCGAGTTGAGAGTGAATGCGACTGAGTTGTGTTGAGGATAAAACTGGCTGGGTGGACTAACTAATATGTTATCAAACTGTACCACGCTAAGCCCGACGTACAGTGACCGAAGCCTAATGTAGCAGATAGTTTGATCACTTCGATCGTCTCACTGAAGACCTGTCTGTCTTACGGCTGCAACACTGTCCTTCCTCCAAAGAAGAAGTTTTTTTTCAAAAATACTTCAACTGGAAAGACTTAAGAGCTCTGTCGAATGAAATTCGTCCCATAGTCTACTGCAACAACAAGCAATTGCGGAAAAACAGGCGCCATCACCCCTTGTGGCTCTCCACAAGTACTGTTAAACGTGTTGAATAAATGGAGTGGAAAACCAAGCGTCCAACTTCTGCTGCGTTCTGCAATTGTCTGTATC